CAAAACAATCATATACAGATACAGTACATGGCTTACAAACAGAAAGAACAGAACATAACAGAAAAGCCATGACTGAACAAAAATCAAAAGTACAAAATACCTAATCACTGATCAGACTCTGAACTGTTAATTCAAAACTTCCTTCCCTTTCCTAGAACTTGAAAATCACTTAGAAAATAAGGATGAGCTAACAGCTCAGCAAGACATCACTCACCAATCCAAATCATCAGAAATTCACATCAGAAAATACATCAAAAAATAGCCGTACAGAAATCGTATAACAGATACTTGATCAACAGAAATCAAACAACTGATACAGAAAACTGAAGTCATTTCAAATCAGAGTTCAGAACAGATATCATAAAGCTTTCATGTCATAAAGCAGACCGAATCGTACAGAATAACTAGAATCGTACATAAATCAGATAAAATCACATTTATATCAGATCATTCGTATCAGATTCCCTGACCCTAACAGAATCTCAACGGATTCTGGCCTCTTATGCCTCCCTTTGTGCTTATAGCACCAGAACAGAACAGAACAGATATTCGAAATTCTGGAACAGAACTTATTTTCTGATTTCAGAGCTCATTTATGATTTCCCTTACACAGACAGAATCTCAAAGGATCCTGACCCCTTATAACTCCCTTCTGATAGCATACAAACACTTCAATTCATTTAATGTATCAATTCAGAAAAAGCAGAATTCGTACGAAAAATCGGCGGCATGACGGCAATATACGGAATTTACACAAAAATCACAAATTCAGAAATTTACCAAATTATCACAGAATATCCACAACAACATTATAAGACTTTTACTGTACTGAAGTAACATTTTTCAACATCATGATAATTTGCAATTCAATTAAAATGCCACAGAATTCAAAATATCCGGTAAAAATCTTCCAGAAAATACTAAAAACGTGCACAATTATCATCTCAGAAATATACCAAAAGTTATCATGACAGAAAAGTCATCAAAATTCTCGTTTCTGAAAATTGAGAAAGGCGGAATGTGCCTTACCTCGATTCTGTCAACTTCTCCAACTACGGCGACGGACGAAAACGGACGGAAGTCGCACAAAAATCCACTTTTCTTCTTTTCTCTTCGGGTTTCTCTCTCCTGGACTTTCTCTCTCTTCAAAACGACTTAAATCGGATATTTATTAAGCAGGATCGTCCCGGACGATGTTCCCGATCGTCCCGGGACAATCTCCTCTAGACCAGATCGTCCAGACGAAATTAAATGCCAATTTTGTCGTCCCGGGATGAAACTCTCGGGTTCAGTTCGTCCCGATTGTTTCAGGTTCGTACAGACGAACATGCAGATTTCTTCACAATCTGTACAGATCGTCCCGGGACGATCCACTTCGTCCCGGACGATCCTGGGAGGAAAACAGCCTTTACAGAACCGAACATAAAGTGGGTCGGGTTCGAGTCCGAAAAACTGACCTGTTTGCAAAACCGGGTCAGGTTCGGGTTGACCCAGAAACCCGGGAATGACCTGGAAAACCCATCTACCCCGGCTGCCCTACGTTGCTTGCCCTAGCTGCCCCGGCTGCCCTCTGTTAGTCGTTTCTTGCCACGGCTGCCCCCCAGCCCTGCGTTGCTTGCCCCGGCTGCCTCGATTGCCCGGTGCCCCTCGAATCGCGATACCTTCCCCCGGCTGCCCACGTGACCGTGTCAAATCGACCGGGATTGAGCTTCGAGACATCGAGCCGCGTGATGCACGTCTCCTGTTGCCGTCCCTCGCCGGCGGCCGCTGTCGTCTCATGCTACCCCGCTTGCGGCCGTCTCTCACTACCCCACCTGCGGCCGTCTCCCGTTGCCTGCACCGAAGCGGGTCGGGTCGGTTTCGGGTCCGAAAAATTGACCCGTTTGCAAAACGGGACGGGTTGACCGAACCTGAATACTGCCGGGTTAGTTTCAGGTTCGACCCGTGACCCGAAATTGACACTCGTAGGTTGGGCATCTAAAAAAAATTGAATATATAAGAAGGGTAATTTTGGAATTATGCCCCCATCAAAAATAATTTTTTTGCTCTAATATGGCATATCTTACTTTGTTTGCCCATCCATCTGAAGATCTGAATATTTCTTCTTTGCAAATAAATGATAAAAAATATCTTTTTATAAATTTGATAGTATTATATTGATTAATTTTTTTAAAGTATTATTATTATTATTGTCATCTAATTAATTAAAATTTTATCCACCCTTAAAAAAGAAGTTGGATCCATCCTACCCACATTTATTTGACTTGGCAGAATCAGTCACATAGGTCATGATGTCGAAGTGATAAACTTATATTTAAGAGCAACTTGCAACCATCATACAACCACTATAGTCCGCATTAAGCCATTTTTTTTCATTGAAAAGCATGTTATATTCTAATGATGGCAAGCCATAGCATAAAAAAGCTTTTGAATGATCATCTAACCCTTTGTCAAATAAAACATATCACTGTTGTATGCATGTTTGAACATTGAATCATAATAACTTGTTAAAAAGATTACATGCCAAAGTCATTAAAGCGCATTGCCGCCTATACGGCTTTCTTATTGTTTCTTAAAACAACTTTATAGTACATAAATTAAATTTTTATGCTAAAAAATTGTTTGAAAAAATAGTAAAAAAACCGTCTTGAAGGCAGCCTTCATTTCATTCAAATAATATAATATGAGATAATGTGGCCCAATTTAGGAGTATGATGAAACAATGCAACTCTGAGAAATCAATATTTTCTTTGCAATTTGTTTGTTGACTAAGGCTTCGTTTGGGACGATTTTTTTGATGCTTTTTAAAGCAGCTTTCTAGTAAAAAAATTTAAATTTTTGTACTAAAAAATCACTTTAAGAAGCAGCGAAAAAGCCGTCCAAACGAAGACTAACTCTAATGAGATCCGAAATGGATGAAAAAAGAGAGGACATCCAAGTCTGATATGTTAAAAAAAAAACAAATTATGTGATAATATCTTATACAATTTAAACTAAATTTATTTTAAATTAATATAATATAAATATTACATATAACCAACACTAATTTAAAAGTAAAATCAATAAATTTTATTTCAATTCTTATACAATTTATATCAAGATATCTTAAGATAAATTTAAACTTATTTTGAGATAAATAAAATATATAAATAATTAAAATTATATTTATCTTAAAATAAATCTAAAAAAACTTAACAACAATTATGCCCAATTTTTTAATCAGTTATAATTTTTTTCAATAACCATGCAAAGGGGTAATTTGGTAATTAAAATCATTAATCGTTCACATTATAAGCTAACAATCAGTACTCGCCTGAATTACCACGGCACAATTTCTGCTTGGAGTGGAATGGAAGTAATTATACGGCGACGGCAATGACCTCTTTAGATTATTCTCCATTCTATTTTCTTCTAAGCAATCATTTTAATCAATGTGGTCTTTGAGCATCTATGAATCATTTTGGGTGGTTGTGATTGATCAACACCTTTATGACTGTTTTAATTTGAACAGGTTGATTGATCATCACTGTTAATCGCAATCCGAACTCAATTTCAAGATAAAAATCGAAACTAATCATTCTTCCAAGATAGAATAGCAATAATCATATTTAGAAATCAAGAAACAAACTTTGTGAAGTTTAAGGTAAACAAATTCTGTAAGTTAAGAGATTGTTAGAAAGATCAGATCTTCTCTTCCTATCAGAATGGTCAGAGTCGTAGCAGTTGACCACAAATCTCCTGAATTCTCCCGTCTGCACGGCGAATTGATCATCAACATTTCTAAAGAGCATCGTCTGCGGGAGAACAGAGCAAGCATTGCAGTAGAAAAGGAATGAAGGAAAAAAAAAAGAGTCAACTTTGGTTCATGGGCAGGCATTTCATCAAACACCTGATCGGCATCTGAACCAAACAAGCAGCTCCTAAATTGAACTATGCGAATTTCATTGGAATACAGTAAAAGCACTCCGCGCATCGATTGATTATTCAGTGAGTGAAAGCGTAGAAAATGGTGGAGATGTAAACGGCGAGAGCAGTGCAAACGAGGGTAAGGAGAACCGCAACAGCCCGAACGGCAGCGGTACTTCCGCAAGATAGCATACCGAGCCGGATCTGTATCACATTAACCATGGAAAGAAGGAGAAAGAGGCAGCCCATCACAGACCCAACAGCCGAGCCAAGCATGCCGAGGCGAAGCACACGGGCGTTTATATGGGCTCGAAAGGCCTCGTCGACATCCTTACTGTTGAGCAGGTTGATAGCGAGCTTGAGGCCCTGCGCGATAAGACTCGAGAAGAGGAAGAAGCTGAAGGACACCACCTCGAACACGAGGAGGTTGCGGACGACGTCCGGGCCAGCATCACAGGCCGTATTGTTCTCCAGGCTCCGCTGCCCAGGGCTTGTTAGGGAGAGACCCACGAAGACGGCGACGGTGAAGAGCGAGTTGACAGTCACCAGGCCATCAAGAGCTGTTACTTGGACGCTCGTCGTTGTTGGGGGAAGCGGGAATCGCCTTGATGATGAGGCGATGTAGTCCTTGAACTCGTAATCTTCGGATCTGAGAGAAAGGCATAGGAAATGAGATTTTAATTCGGAATTAGGGTGAAAGAAAGAGTAATCGTTAAAGAGATTGGATATGCCCTTACACTTCCATGGAATTAGATTCGAAATGCTTGCCGGGGGAAGATTAGGGTTTACGGGGTTTGGAGTTTGATGGGGACGCAAAAAGGAGATGAAAGGAGAAGCGAAAGTCTGTGCTTCCTTCTTATTAGTAAAGAGTGATCTGTTAAAGTTATTTCGAAATCGCAAGGATAGCTGATTCGTTGGTCTTTTTGTAAATAAAGCACTGTAAATTGTAAATTTGCAACTAATTCCCTTGACAACTAAATTTCTAACGTCGGTGATTTACAACATTCATTTTTTACGGGAGATGTCAATATTGTAAATGCCTTGTAAATTTTTTATTTCAATTTGAGTATGAAAAACTTTGCAAATTCATTCTAGTGGACAAGTCTAAATTAAAGGGTGTCAATTTGAGTCAGCGGGTCGGGTTCAGGTCGAACTCGGAACTGCAATCGGGTCGACCATAACCTGATTCGGGTAGGTAAACGGGTCGGATATTTGAACCCGGACCCTATCCGGCGGGTTGTCGGTTGACTTGACTCAACACGGGAAGGAGACCAACGTGGGCGCGGTTGAGAGTAGATGCCAGCGCAGACGCGGATGCGCGGGAGGCTCGTGGTGCTAAGGTGTGCGGGAGGCTCGTGGTGCTAAGGTGTGCGGTGCGCAGGCGCCGGGCGGGTACGCTGCAGCGCGGGCATCGTGTCAAATATTGTTCCCCTTAGTCTAAACGAATATCCTAATCAAGCCTAGATAAAATTTTTGGCTAAAGATGAGGCCCACCAAAGAAGAGATTTTTACGTGCGGTCACCAAATTATTCGGAGGTGAATCAAAATGTGTCACGTAATTCGGCACACAGCGGTATGACACATCCTGATTCACCTCCGAATAACATCTGGTGATCAAACTTAATAATTTCTCCCACCAAAGCGGCGACTTTCCCTCAATATTTATTGAACAAATGTATAAAATGAGTAAGATTAAGATTTTTTTTAGTGCAAATATACAACAAAAAGAAAGGAAATATTACAAGTTGTTTAATTGCTTAATTGTAGCATTCTCTTTATCACAACTTGCTTCATTACAACTTGGTTTTGTTATCAAAGCTTGGAAGACGTCATTATTTTGAAAATTTGTTCTGTGCGATCATCGGATAGCGTCTGGAGGCGAATCAGAGTGTATCACGTTTCTGTGTACCAGATAATGTGGCGCTCTCTAATTCTCCATTGGACAGTCCAGTGACCAAATAGAATAATTTATCCATTATTTTTGTACATGATATGGAGGATTTCTTTCTCCACAAGCTTGTCAATGCAAAAATTCACTACTTTTATAAACTTGGAAGGCATGAATTAATGATACTTGGCCATCTAGAATAATATATTTTAGTAGTCGATTCAAAGCAATAATTGATAAAAACATCGAAAATAATACGGTAATCTCGATGAAATTAATCCAAAACGATAGATTGTAGTAATCGATTCAAAGCAAAAGCAAACAGAAAGCAAGATACAATTGATCCTCAATTCAAGAGGAGGATTGTTCTCTCCCAATCTCTAGACGACGAATCTAGAGCCCAAGACGTCAAAGAAACTTCAAGAGAACAAAATAAAATCAATCAAAGCATAAATCCCTAACCCTAAAACACCTCATGCTATTCAATACATAAAACTTCTAAATCAAATATCCCTCCAAAACACTAGCCGCCTCTGCCTTTCTTATTTTGGATTCAATTTGAATAGTGGCACCCGCTATTATGGGCATCAAAGGAAGAGGAGGTGGTACTAGCCCACCTCCTATAGACCAAAACTGGCCCATTCATGCCCGAATCAGGATTTGGGGAATATTGGGCTGGTTCACGAGGAAATGGTCTAACAATATCGCCCTTCCAAAGAATTACTTTGTCCTTAAGGTAAAAACTAGGAAACTGATATTTTACCCTCTTGTATACCTCCCACGTAGCATCGTAGTCAAAAAAATTCTTTCACTTGATCATCACTTCATTAGTTCATCTTCTTTCTAGCGAACCCCCTTCAACTCTAAGGATTCCAAAATCACCTATAAATCCTCAATAAGTGTCACTGATAACTCCGACATGACTGTATAATCTCCAATGGCCCTTCTCAACTAAGATACATGAAAAACTAGATGTACAATCGTCGTTTGTGGTAGTTTTAACCAATATGCTACCGCTCCAATATTCCCCAATACTTTATAAGGTCCAAGTACATTGGAGCAAGCTTCTTATTCCTCCTATTGGCAACTGTCTTCGGTCTGTGTGTTTGGAGCTTTAAGAACACCCTCTCTCCTACTTCGAACTGGATATCCTTCTTATGCCCATCAGTTTATTTTTTCATAATTTGTTAAGCTCTCAGTAGATGTCTTTTCAACTTCTCTAACACTGTCCCTCTCCTCTAAGTACACATCCACTAAATAAATTGGAGTACTGCTACTCCCAAAGTGCACCAAGTGAAGAGAGTCCCTTTCGTACAACACCTTGAATGGGTCATCTGAAAAGCAGAATGAAAAAAAAGTATTGTACCAATACTTAGCCCATTATAATCACTTGGCCCATAACCTGGGTGTGTCCGACACAAAGCATCTTAGGTAGGTCTCCAAACTCATGTTGACCACTTCTGTCTGGTCTTCCGTCTGTGAAATTACTTGAGTTTGCAAGTAATTTAAGAGCAAAAACTTGAGTTTGCAAGCAACCCTAGCAATAATTGTTAAAAACAGCATAAACAATGCGATAATCTCATTGAAATCAATCCAAAATGATTAATAGTGGATTCAAAGCAAAAGCAAATACAAAGCAAGATACAATTGATCCTCAATTCGAGAGAAAGATGGTTCTCTCCCAATCACTCGACAATGAGTCTATAGCCCAATATGCCAAAGAAACTTCAAGAAAATAAAAGAAAATCAATCAAAGCATAACCCCCTAACCCTAAAACATTTCATGTTATTTAATACATAAACCTTCTAAATCAAATCTCCCTCCAAAACCCTAGTCACCCCCTCCTTTCTTATTTTGGATTCAATTTGAATAGTGGGACCCACTATTACGGGTGGCAAAGGAAGAGTAGGCGGTGCTAGCCTGCCTCCTATAGACCAAAGCCTGCCCATCCAGGGCTGGTTCAGGATTTGGGGAAGATTGGGCCAGTTTGAGAGGAACTGACCTAACATCTTCCTAAAGTGATTGTAATATCTATGAATAATTGAGAGTCTTGCTCTTTATCATCCATAACATACATTTCTTATTGAGCTATTGTTCCCCAATCAACAAAGTCGAATACCTTTCTACATTGCAACAACTATGTCAATTGTATGTGTTGCACATGATGATAGCAATTGTGTCGTCTACCAAAACCTAATGATCAAATCTCTCTTTTTTTTGTCTCAATTATCAAATCAACCTAACAGTAATGAACATAGCATATATAATGGCAATAATTTCCACCAAACATATCCTAAAAATTGAATTATATATTTATCACATCTATGATCATATTATACTGCACAATAATATTACATACATCACACATAACGAAAGTGATTGATTTGTCCTGTACCACTTGAAGGAGAAGTTATTCTGTGTAGAAATCGGACTGTCCGGAGGAGAATCAAAATTCGTCATGTCACCCGATACACAACAGTACATAGCCACGGAACACAACAAAAAAAAGATGTGACGTATTCTGAATCGCCTCCGGACGACGTCCATATCTGTTTGTTGATGCTCATCTTTCTTCCATATTCATCTCATACCATAAAGATAGCATCATTAGATAGTAGTGTGTTATATCATCAACAAACAAGATGGCAAATATAGGCACCCCAAAGGATGTTGTATTGAAGTCCCTCCAATTGATTAGAGGTGATTCCCCTTTCCATCAATTTTCTATAAGAAAATCAACAAAATTAGGCCTAGGTTCAAAAGCTCTCCCCCTTTGAAATTTTTCTATGTAAGAAAATTTACCCCCTTCTCTACTTATTTGATTGTGCATGTAAGCCAATATATATAATCTCCTTTTAACATAAACAGATTACTCAACCATTTCTCAGGTTCTGCAATCACTCAACTCCAATACAAATTCAAGCCATAGCAAAGAAACACAAAATACAACGCCAAACATAAAATCGACAGACCATTTTCATATATATCTACCGTTTATTCAATTCATTCTTTCTTCTCTCTGCCTCATCTGTCGCTTCAACCTGCATCTTTGCCTTCTTCAGTTCAGCTTCACTGGCTTCCTTCTCAGTTCTAGCCTTCAATCTCATAGTCTGCGAGTTGCAGATTATAAAAAAAAAACAGATTGATTGGAGGAGAGAAAGGGGAAGAGAATTTATGAGAAAATATACCTGCCCTGTGAAGTAAGCCAAGACATATTGCCAGCTTTTCTTCAGAGAAGATCCGACTAAAAGTGCTTCTTTTTTTAAATCAGGAGCTTCTAATGGAGCTTGATCTTCTTCTTTCTTTCTTTCTGCTGCCATGCTTTATTTCTTTGCTTTGAGATCGCTGGTTTTGTGCAGTGGCAGAAGGAGAAGACAGCCTGCTAGGTGTCTTTATTGATAGACAGATGTCCTGTTTCTAGTGAGATTGGATTGTTCCACCTGTGACCTGGCACGCATTAAGAAAAAGATATGATGATAATTATCTGCTAAAATTTATACGATGAATATTGAATATTTGAAATTAAAAAAACATTTTCATTTGAGGTGAAAATTATACAAATACCTTTAATATTTTTATTTAAACGTGATATGTCATCACAAAAACGTATTTTAATTTGACTTTTTTTTTTGTTTCTTGTTATGTTGTAAAAAGTATCAGAATATCTGGCATATGATGTAATTTAATTGCTTGATTATAAAAATATTTTTTTTTAAAGTATCGAATAGTATATTTTTATTTATTATTTACTGTTATTTTTATGTTATTGATATTATAGAATATATATTTTATTTTATTTTTATAAATTTCAAGTCCCACCATCAACGCGGAGGACAAAGATGGGAGAACTTATTCTGTGTGGACATCAGAATGATAGAACAGTCCAGATTTGCTGCGCTTTTACTATCTTCTTACTGTAATTTTGCAAAATGCAGTAAAAATGTAACAATTATTCAATTATGAATGCATTTTTTATGTCATTTTATTATGTTTTTGTAAATGCTCAATAAAAACATAACAAATATTTAATTATTTAGTAAGTATTAAATATTTGCTGCAATTTTATTATTTTTTCAATTATTATTAGGTTGAATAGAATCTCATTCCTAAGCTGAGCAATTCGTAGCCATTCTAAATTATCTTGATCACCATAACATTGGCCAAGACTAATGGATCCTTCCTTTAGTCCATCTAGTTCAAAGAGGAATCCATCCACAGGTCCATAACTTATGAAGTGGAAAATATCATGGTCCCGATTTGCAGCTTACAAATTAATTATCACTAAATAAAAAATTTAGATATTACATATGTAATATCCAATATTTAGATGATTAAGATTTTAATTTTATCTATTTTTTATTTCATTTTGAGATATTTTGAGTTATTTAAAAAATTGCTACAACAATGGACCGTTATTGGAAAAATTATTCTGTGCAGACACCCGGCGGCGTCCCAAGACCAACCAGAATGCGTCACATCACTTTTTTGCTCGGTAATGATACTCGGTATCAGGTGATGTGGCACGTTCTGATTGATCTCCGGATAGTCCAGTGTCTGCACAAAATAATTTTTCTAGCTATTGACCCTCTCAAGTCCCACCAACATCATCAAAGTCATTGCTTTATTACTTATGGTGACCATCTCTTTATCTTACAAATTAATTGTCACCAAACAAAAATTTGAAAGATTATGTATATAAAATATCTAATATTTAGATGATTAATATTTTGTTTTTATAAAATTTTTATTTCATTCATAAACTATGTTTAAAAATTCTAGTTTTTCTTTTTGAAAATTTTGCTATATTTTATTAAGCAATATATTTATCTTTTATTTATATCAGATTCAAAATATATTTAAGTATAAAAAAATAATATTTAATATTAATATTCATTTAAGTTCAATATTTTTATTAAATGTTTGACTTGAACTCATGTGATGAAGAAAATTATGCCTTTAGTCAATAAAAACTCAAAGTCTCGTGCAATATCTATTTTTATAAAAAATAGGTAAATATTTAATTTTATTTATAGCTAATAATAAATTTAAATTTCACTTAAATCAAACATTTGATTCTATAAATATTTAAATAATACATCACATTCAATTAGATATAAAAAATTTTCCTTATTCAAGATCTATATATATATATATATATATATATCATTGTTGCGGGCTAGAATATACGCGGCGATAGAGTTATAATTCTACGCCTTAGCGTTGCACGGATATCCAGCTCACACACAAAG